CATTTGAGACTATCATACATTACTTGAGCGCTTACTATATACTGGGACTATTCTAAGCACCTGCTGTTATTTTGTGAATCCTCAAAGCCACTCATCGCTGGCTCCATTTCACAGATGAAACCAAGTCCCTGGGAGGTGAAATACCTCGCCCAGGTGTTCAAACCTGAGAGGTGCTGGAGCAGGGACGGACTGAGGCCGCTGGGAGGCCACTGCCAGAGTGCCTCCCCCTCTGCCTCACAGACGGTCTAGGGGCCCAGACAGGTCTAGGTGCCCAGACGAGTTGGGTCCACTCCTCATTCCCACTGCTGAGGGCACCCGATCGCTGGCAGTTGGGGAAGCTGAAGCTCTGGACGGGGAGAGATCCTAAATGGGATTGGCACCAGCCATGGGGAGAAGAGGGTGCCAACTGGAGGATTCTTCCAGCAGGCCCAGCTCAGCTGAAGGGCCCAGGGCCCAAATGACAGGCCCTCACCCCAACCTGCTCTGAAGGGCATCAGTGGCATCTTAAATGGGAATCTCAGGCGAACCTTCCTCAGGGAGGTATTGTGAGGATGTAATGAGACAAGGTAGGCCAGGATCTTTGCACATAGGAAGTGCTCAAGAAATGGGGACTCGGAAAATTCTGGAAGCTGAGGAATGTACCAGGGCAGTGCCACAAGAACCACTCAAGAATGGCTGTTGGCATCTGGAGGGTCCTGCCTGGCCTTCAGTCACCAGGGGAACCCCTTTAGAAGATCTTCCTCTAACACAGCCAGGGACCCCCAGGAACTTTCCCCCACTTCCCCTCTCCAACCCACCCCACCTAGTGGGATGGGCAGAGCTGGGAACAGAGAGTGCCCGGGCCTTAGGGGGGGCTTCCTTCCGAAGCCACCCCCACCCCACCCCAGGAGCTGGGTATGTGGTTCAGGAAGGGCACAGATGGGCTAAATATAACCTGGGCTGGGCGGCTGCCCTGGGCAGGGATGAGGGAGGAGGGCACTGTCTCTTGCTCCCGCCCTGGCTAAGCTTCCTGTGCCAGCCTCTGGGTGTGACCCTCGCCGCCCTGGCCTGAAACAGGGAGCTGGCAGACCAGGAGAGCCTCCCCTCCATCTCCACTACCCCTACAAGTACCAGGCTCTCCCACCTCCAGCTCAGGATGCTGCGTGGTGTCAGCGACTCAGTTTTTCGGATCTGGGTTCAAGTGCCGACTCTGTCACTGTGATAGCTTAACCCTCATTTATTCATCATAAAATGGGGTACTGAGGCCACATCTATAAAGTCCCTGTCCAGCCCAGGGATGCCTGTTTGGGGCATCCCCAATCCCCACCTCCCTTCCCAGCCCATCCCCTGCCCTGGTTGTTTTGCTGCTTGGGGATCCCGCAGTGCTCAGAGCCACGAATGCAAGTTCAGGTCCAGAGTTGGGGTCAAGGGCAGGGGCTTGGCTGGGTGACCCCAGACAGGTCACTTCCTCTCTCTGAGCCTCAGTTTCCAAACCTAAAACAGCCACCACATTCAGGGCGATTCAGAGACCCATGGGGGCCGGCACTGGGGCCAGTTTGGAGGAAATGCCACAGATGTGGGAGCCCACCTGACCTGGAGCAGCTGAGGGCTCAGAGGGGAGGCTGGCGAAAGCCAGAGAAACCAGGACTCCTAGGAGGGCCAGAGAGGAGCCCCCTGCTACTGTGGGGTCCCTGGCAGTGGAGTGGGTACAGCTGGACCATTGAGGGTCCCTGTGTCCTCTATCCTGGCCAGTGGTGGGCTATGAAGGGCCATTGTGCGGCTGGGGGTGGGTGGGCAGGGGCGGAATGTGACTGGGCACAGCAGATGGGCCATTGTTTGAGGGAATGTGCCGCGTGAGGTCTGACCTTTCCCTGTAGAGTGGGGGTTGGCGGGTTGGCATGCCAGGTGGGGGCAGGGAGGACAAGGCTAGAGTCGGCTGGGGGTGGGGGGCTGGAGAGACGGTATCCATTCCCTTTTCCCCAGAAGGGCCTGTTGGGGAGGCTGCCTGGGAATCCCAGTTCTGCCTCCTTCTCACTAGGCTGTGTGACTTTATGCGAGGTTCTTGGCCTCTCTGAGGGGCTATGGGTTTTCTGCAGAGAGGAGGCGGAGCACAGGACTGACGAATAACCACTCAGTAACCATTAGTTATCATCTTCCGTAGAAGAGTCTGGAACTCTCAGATGAGTTCAAGTCCTGGCTCAGCCCCTCATGACCATTTGTGGCTGCCCTTCTCCCAGCCTCAGGTGTCTTCTCTATAATGGGCTCGGTAACTTCTCTATTATGGGCTCGATAACTGTATTGACCTCACAAGAGTGTTCTGAGGTTTATGGGCAATGAATGACCCCTGTGGGACATTTGTCACAAGATCAGGACCACAGGAAGTTCTTAGTAATAATAATAGGGCTTCTGAAGCCCCTCCACATACCCAGCATTTTGTATTTACTCACTTATTTGACGCGGTAGGTGCTTTCCTTCTCCCCATTTAACAGATGAGGAAGCTGAGGCCCAGAGAGGTGAGGTGATTGGCCCACAGGGAGGACATGGGAGTGGTTAGGATTGTTTTATAGTGAATTTGGCTCTCTCCGTCGACCCAGGTGGTTGGCGCAGGGGCTCTGCTGTCAGGCAGTCCTAGGAGTCAGCTCTGGCTTTACTTTACTGTTTGTTGTCCAATAAAGGTCTTCTCGGCCTCAATTTGCCCCGCTGCACTATGGGGATAGGAAACTGACAGAGCGCAGGAAGGGTCAGGCCCTCAGGAAGCAGTGGATGGGGTTAGCTGATGGTAATGCTCACGTTCTTCTTAGAGCCCCGGACCCAGGAGGCCCAAGGAGCTGGAGGTGACCCTGAGGTGAGCACTGGCCGGGGCCACGTGCCCCTCCCCGCCCCTCCCGCCCCTCCCTGGCCTGCTTGGAGCCTCATGCCCTGGTCTCTTTTTGGCAGGCAGCAAGACCCCAGAGGAAGGGCGTGAGCCCCGCAGACGGCTGTGCGGTACCCCAGGCTGGGCTCCTGTTAGGAGGGGGTGCCCGTGCCCAGGCAGCGGTGAGAGGACAGGGGTGGAGGGCCCTTCTCCCCTTCTGATACCCATCTTGGCCTCTCCCCTCCACGCCCGGCCTCCTCCTCGCATCCTCTCCTGGCCTCAAGCCTCCCTCCCGGTCCCCCACAGGCTCACAGACAGCGGCTCCATGCAGAACTGAAGCTGGTTCTGCAGCAGAAGGGAGAGAGGACGCAGGAGCCTGGGGCCCGGGTGACTCCCAGCAGCGCCATGGAGGCCAGGAGCCGGAGCGCTGAGGTGAGCAGCCCACATGCTCTGCATGGGGAACTTGGGGAGGCCCGGGTGGGGGACACAGACTGAGGCAGCAAGAGACACTTCCTGGTTTCTCCGTGCCTCAGTCTCCCCATCTGTGAAATAGAAATAGCAACAGCGCTTATTTTATAGGTCACCGGGAGGAAAAGAATTTTAACATAGGGAACGTGCTTAGCACAGTGCCTGGTACAGACTAAGAGTCAAAGCGGCAAATTCACTGGGGGCATAGTGGAGTTATATTAATAACAAGCTAAAGAAAATCAGGCAGAAACCTTTCATTGGAAGAGGTAGGATGGTATGGGGGTTAAATACCTGAGCTTTGAGCCCATGGACTTAAATGCCAACCCTACCACTTCAACTGCACAGCTCCAAACAGGGGACCTGACCTCTCAAACCCTGTTTTCCCATTGGTGAAATGGGACAAGGGTCACTGGTACGGAGCTAGAGGACCCACACAGACTGCTTCCTACCGGATGCTAGGCACAGAGCGGGTCCACTTTTCCGGGAGCCAAGCGGAGGCTGAGGGGTGGCAGGCAGGGGGTAAAGTGCAAGGAGGTCACTGCCTCCAGGTAGGCCTATGGGCTCTGAGGTCACAGACTGGGGGTTTAGGCCCAGCTGCTTAACTCTGCTATGTGGCGTTAGGCAAATCACTCCGCTTCTCTTTGCCTTTGCATCTTCCTTTGTGTCTGTCCAAGCTGTGGGGAGGATGAAATGAGATGCTGTACATAAAATCCTTAGCCCAGGGCCTCAGGGTGGTGGTGATGGTCCTGCTGTTTCCTGCTGCCCCTACCACAACTGTTCTCACCTCTTCTCACCATGCTCCTCCCAGCCCTCTAGTCCCAGGGCCACTGCGGGCCTAGACCTGCTTCCCTAACCCTCTCCAAGAGCTGGCTCAACTCCAGTCTATGTCAGCCCTGATGCCCTGCCCATTACAGCATCTTCTCGGATCCCTGTTGCTTCAGGTCTCAGCTCACAGGCACTCCTTCCGGTACACCCATGTCCCCCAACTTTACAGTAGGGAAATGGGCCCAGAGAGGGCAAAGTTCTCCCCCCAGAGACACACAGCAGATTGCGTTCCTAGACGGTTGTGGAACTGAGGTATCTCACGGCCTTTTCTAAGCCCCGGATGTGAATCCCGGAGGGCGCTGCTGGGCCAGGGCAGCACCATTTACAGTAAATACCAGGAATGCCACGTCTGCTGGTCCACCACTCGTTACCCACGCACCCCCCTTCACTGGATTCCCTCTCCCAAAGGCGTTGTGCAGGTCTTGGGTTCAGAGTCCACAATAGGGCACAGTCTCACACACGTTCAAGCCTCCAAAGAGCCCCGTCTCACCCTCACCCCTCCATCCTGCACCACTTAAAGGTCCAGCCCCTTCCTCGGAATCCCATCCTCACTCCACCCCTTGTTCGGCTGTTTATTAAGGCCGTTTCCCATACCTCAAACCCACCCTTAGAATACGTGTCCCCGGCTTACCTCCACGTTATTACTCTCTAGCCACACCCCTCTCAGATTTTTGGCCCCTCCTCCGTGGCCTGAGCTCTATCCGCGAGAGCGGTCGGATCCCCCGCCACACCCCTAGCCCCGCCCCCGAACTGACCCCGCCCCCGAGGGCACAGCCCCGCCCCTCACTCACGACTCCGGTTCCCTCTGGCCTCGCTACCCCGCCCCTCCTCTACAACCCCGCCCCTCGCCCCGCCCCTTCGACGGCGGCCCCGGGGCTCCTGCCGGCCCAAGAGTGGACGGAACCGTTGAGCCTGGCAGCGGGTGCGAGAGAGCAGGCGGCCCTCGCGCTTCTTTAAAGGGAAGATGCCGGAGTGGGTGGGCCCGCACGGCCGGCCTGAGCCGCGCTCAGGGGGGTGTAACTGAAGGACCCGTTTAAGAGCCGCTTTTAAGCGCGATGCCGGGCGCTGGGCGAGGTCCGGCCCTAGCGCCCCATGGCGGCCTCTCGCTGCCCTCCGCAGGAGCTGAGGCGGGCGGAGTTGGTGGAGATCATCGTGGAGACCGAGGCGCAGACCGGGGTCAGCGGCATCAACGTAGCAGGCGGCGGCAAGGAGGGAATCTTTGTCCGTGAGCTTCGGGAGGATTCGCCCGCGGCCAGGAGCCTCAGCCTGCAGGAAGGTGGGCGGGGCGGAAGCACGGGGCGGGGCCTTTCCGAGGCGGCAGGGTTAGGAACCGCCCCCGTCCCGGGCGTGGCCAGCCCTCAGGAGGCGGGGAGAATGGCTTGGGGCGGGGCTTTGTGTGTCGGCCTTGCAGTGGCTCAGTGCGGTCTCTGGAGGTTCATTGTGTCGGTTTGACTCCCAGATCTGCAGTTTACTAGCTTGTGATCTTCTGTGCCTTGGTTTATTCATCTCGAAAATGGGAATAATCTTAGTACGCACCTCGCAGGGTTATTACGTGGATTAAATGAGTCAGTATTTGAAAACACTTGGCGCATAGCTAAGTGACACGCAGTAAGCACTATTTAAGCACTAGTTATTATTTTTGTTGTTGGGGCTGGAGAAAAGAGGTGGAGTTAACTTGGAGGGGGTATGGAGGGGAGCTTTAGTAAGTAAGGGATATTTTAGGTGACATGGATGAGGCCGATGTGATTTATTCATGCAACAACTATTTACTAAGTGCCTTCTATTTTCAGATATTATTCTAGGTGTTTGGGCTACTGCAGTGAACAAAACAGACAACACTCTCTGCACTTATGGAGCTTACCTTCTAGTAGAGAGAGAGATATTTGAGCAAAATATGTAAAATACATAGTAAATTAGAAGGCATTGTGTACTATGCGTGCCTGTAGGACAGTTGTATTTTTAAATATGGTGAGCCAGGAAGGGAGGAAAGGCCTGGTGGAGGGCAGGGAGTGAGCTATATGGCCATCTGGAAGAGCATTCCGTGCAGAGAGAACAGCCAGTGCAAATGCCTCAAGGTTGGGGTGTGCCTAACTTGACGAAGAGCAAGGGAGCCAGTGTGGATGCAGTAGAGTTAGAGAGGAAGAGATGAGGCCTGAGGGGTAAGGAAAGGGCAGTTTTCAGAGGGCTTTATAGGCCATGGTGAGGATTTTGACTTTTAATCTGGGAGGGTTGTGAGTGAGTGGAGGGGGCACATGAATTGGCTGTGTTGGACAGCATGCTGTATTAGCAGTAGACTGAACTGAAAGGGCCAGGGTGGGGAGCAGGGAGGCTACTCCGGGGGTGCCTGGCTGGCTCAGTCAGTAGAGCATGAGACTCTTGACCTTGGGGTCGTGAGTTTGAGCCCCATGTTCGGTGTAGAGATTGGGGTTTTATTATTATTATTATTATTTTAAAAATTTATTTGAGAGAGAGTGAGAACTAGCAGGGGTGGGGGGAGGAGGGGAGGAAGAGGGAGAAGCACACACCCCACTGAGCAGGGAGCCCAACTCAGGGCTTGATGCCAGGACCCTGGGATCATGACCTGAGCCAAAGGCAGATGCTTAACCAACTGAGCCACCCAGGTGTCCCGAGATCACTTTAAATAAATAAATAAATAAATATATATATATATATATATATTTTTTATATATATACACATTATATATATATATACACACATATATTTTATATATATATATAATGTGTATATATATATACACACACATAGAGGCTACTCTGATTATCCAGGTAAGAGGTGGTGATGCTCAGGGCCAAAACAGTGTTAATGGACATGAAAAGAAAGGTTTGGATACTGGATATATTTTGAAGGAGGAGTCTTCAGGACTGGATATGGGGAGCGATGAAAAGAGAAGGGTCAAGGATGTGTCCAGGGATTCTTGACCTGAGGATGGAGTTGTTGGTTCCACAAATGGGCAACGCTGGGGCTGGAGCTTGTTTGGAGTAAGACCAGGAGTACAGTTTGGATCTGTCAAGTGAGGGGTATCTGTTGGAGGCCAAGGTGAAGGTGTGGAGGGCTAAATGGATATATGAGTCTAGAATGGCTGGGAGAGTGCTAGGCTGGAGAGGTACACTTGGGAGTTGTCAGCCCATTTATGGTCTTTTTTTTTTTTTTATTATTATTATGTTATGTTAGTCACCATACAATACATCATTAGTTTTTGATGTAGTGATCCACGATTCATTGTTTTTGTATGACACCCAGTGCTCCATGCAGTACGTGCCCTCCTTAATACCCATCACCGGGCTAACCCATCCCTCCACACACCCCCCCCAGTTTATGGTCTTTAAACCGTAATCTGGATGAGCTTCCTTAGAGGGTGAGTGTAGCATGGAGATGAGAAGGGGTCCAAGGCCTGAACTCTGGGACAGTGTGTCATTAAGAGATCCAGGAGATGGGGAGGCTGAGAAGAAACCTCCAGGAGGTTCTAGAGGTTGTGTGGCGTCCTGGAAGCCAAGCCAGACAAGTGGATGAAGGAGAGAGAGTGACGTTAGGTCGAAGGCTGTGAGGTCCCCTCAGGTGAAGTCTGGGACTTGATCATTGGACTTAGCTACACAGAGGTATGGGACCTTGAGAGGAGCCATTCAAGGTTCTGGAAAGGGGTGTCAGAAGTGTGATTGGAGAAGTGGAGGTAAGGCAGCTAGACAACTCAGTGCATTTGCCGTTAAGGTGAACAGAAAAATGGATCAGGAGCTCTAGGAGTGAGGTGAAGACAGCTTTTCCTATGGGACAAATAATGGTACGTGTATGCTGATGGGAATAACATAGGAGAGGGACAAATCGGTGATGTGGGGAAAGAGGGGAGAACTGCTACAGGATGTCCCCTGAGAAGGCAGTGGAAAGGCTGACCTGAGGTAGAAGTGGGCACGGTTCATTCTTAGGAATAGGTGGAGAGTAGAGTAAATAGCCACAGGAGCAGGGGGGTGAGTAATGGCGTGGGAGTTTCTGTAAGTTCTGATTCTATCCTCTCAGTAAAGGAAACAAAATCAGTGTCTAAAATGTGAGAATGGGGGGTGCCTGAGTGGCTCAGTCGGTAAGTGTCTGCCTTGGGCTCAGGTCATGATCCCAAGGTCTTGGGATTGAGCCCGAGTCGGGCTCCCTGCGAATAAAATCTTTAAAAATAAAATAAAATAAAATGTGAGAATGGGGAAGGGAAGTGGAAAGGCAATGGGCGTGGCTTGAATGGGTGTGGCTTTGCTCAGCTGGGGCGGGGCTAAGGCCATGGGGTGGGGCTTCGCCCTAGGGTATCTGGACCTCAAACTGGGAGGAACTTTGCGTCTCAAGTCTGTGCTGGGGGTGGGGGCAGGGGGAATAGGAGGGGCCTTAGTTTGGGGCGGGGCCTCTCTGAGCTTGCTCCAGGGAAGTGGGTGGAACCAGGCCTGGGTGGAGCCAGGAGATGCCCACGCCCTGCCCACCTCCGCCTTGCCTGCAGGAGACCAGCTGCTCAGCGCCCGTGTGTTCTTCGAGAACTTCAAGTACGAGGACGCGCTACGCCTGCTGCAATGTGCCGAGCCTTACAAGGTCTCCTTCTGCCTGAAGCGCACTGTGCCCACTGGGGACCTGGCGCTGCGGCCTGGCACCGTGGCTGGCTACGAGATCAAGGGCCCACGGGCCAAGGTGGCCAAGCTGGTACGCGTGCTTAGCCCGGCCCCGGCTCTGGACTGCCCCAGCGATCCAGTCTCTCCGCCGTGAGCCCTACTCCTCCACACCGTGGGCCAGCCTTGCCCTCTGTCTTGTCACTAACCCAACGCTAATCCCACCCTCTGCCTCCTATTCTCCACCCCTAAACTCCTTCCTGGGGAGGGGGACCCACCCATCTCAGACCAGGGCCTTTTCCCACTTTGGAGAGGCATCAGCTCTAGACTTGCCAGTGGTCCTGAACCAGGGGACTCCAAACCAGGAAGGCCAGGTTCAAGCCTGAGTGCTGCTCACTTAACTGCTGAGCGACCCTGGGCAAGTTTCTTTCCCTTTCTGGGCCTCAGTTTCCCCATCTCTAGAATGAAGGTATTGGGGGAAATCCTGGATGAGGACCTAGAAGTCTTGGGTCCTAGTTCCTACACTCTTGTTGACTCATTATCAGATTCTAAATGAATGTCTTTGCCCTACGGGGGCAGTCATCTTGAAATGACAGGAAGGAAGTGGGGCTGGTGTTTTTGGGGACAAGATGCTTCATCCAACACATCCCCAGCCTGGCACAATGCCAGATGGGTTCCCCCTGTCTTCCCCGAGCCTCCCACTGTCCCACCGCCTCCCGCATCTCTCCTCTCTCCCCAGAACATCCAGAGTCTGTCCCCTGTGAAGAAGAAGAAGATGGTGGTGCCCGGGGCCCTGGGGGCCCCTGCAGACCTGGCCCCTGTTGACGTCGAATTCTCCTTTCCCAAGTTCTCCCGTCTGCGTCGGGGCCTCAAAGCCGAGGCTGCCAAGGGTCCCGTCCCAGCTGCCCCAACCCGCCGGCGCCTCCAGCTGCCTCGGCTGCGCGTCCGAGAAGTGGCGGAAGAGGCCCAGGCGGCCCGGCAGGCCGTTGCTGTTCCTTCCCCAAGGAAAGCCAAAGTGGAGGCCGAGGTGGCAGCAGGAGCCCGTTTCACAGCCCCCCAGGTGGAGCTGGTTGGGCCCCGGCTGCCAGGTGCCGAGGTGGGTGTCCCCCAGGTCTCCGCCCCCAAGGGGCTGGGAGAGGTGGCCCTCCACCTGCCAACCCGTGGACTAGGAGCCCCCGCTGCACCTGCTGTGGAGCCCGCGGCCCTAGGGATCCAGGTCCCCCAAGTGGAGCTGCCCACCTTGCCCTCGCTACCCACTCTGCCCACACTTCCCTGCCTGGAGACCCGGGAAGGGGCTGCGGCAGTGACGGTGCCCACCCTGGATGTGGTGGCGCCTGTCGTAGGGGTGGACCTGGCCTTGCCGGGTGTGGGGGTGGAGGCCCGAGGAGAGGCACCTGAGGTGGCCCTGAAGATGCCCCGCCTCAGTTTCCCCCGCTTTGGGGCTCGAGCAAAGGAAGTCGCTGAGGCCAAGGTGGCCAAGGGCAGCCCTGAGGCCAGGGTGAAGGGGCCTAGACTTCGGATGCCCACCTTCGGGCTTTCGCTCCTGGAACCCCGGTCAGCTGTCGCCGAAGCTGCTGTTGAGAGCAAGCTAAAGCTGCCCACCATCAAGATGCCCTTTGGCCTTGGGGTCTCGGCCCCTGAGGTCAAGATGCCCAAGGGGCCTGAGGTGAAGCTCCCGAAGGCTCCTGAGGTGAAGCTCCCGAAGGTGCCGGAGGCAGCCCTTCTGGACGTGCAACTCCCAGAGGTGGGACTCCCCAAAGTGTCAGAGATGAAGCTCCCGAAGGTGCCGGAGATGGCCGTGCCCGACGTGCAGCTCCCCGAGGTGCAGCTCCCCACAGTCCCCGAGATGAAGCTCCCGAAGGTGCCCGAGATGGCCGTGCCCGATGTGCAGCTCCCCGAGGTGCAGCTCCCCACAGTCCCCGAGATGAAGCTCCCCGAGGTG